ATCATGCTAAGGTTTATGTATTGAGTTGTGAATTATTGGTGTTGGTGATTGAATTGTGAAGCATGAATTATTTGTGATGGTTTATGGATTGGAAAATTATATTTTGGCATGATTATATGGACTACATATTTATTTATGGCATGATAGAAAGCATGTTTAATTAAACTAATTGTTTAATTATGTTTGGAATATTGAAAGGAAATTTTATTACGGTTCATATAATTTTTATTGATGCTTTAAGCATGAGAAAATAGCTATATAAGTGTCTATGTACACAAGGAATAAATTGTATATTGGTGTCTTTGTGCACTTAAGGTGTTTTTAACACCGAGGGATAGGATTTTTGGCGCTTTATGTGTTTAAGGTGTCTTTGACACTGAGGTAGAATTAAAAATGGTTAATTCAACATTAAATATTATGTGGTCACTAAATATTCAAGAATTAAATTGGTATGTTTGAGTGATTGAATTATTATTGATGATTGAATTGTTATGCTTTGAGGGTCATCACCAAGTCTAATAATATGTAAATAACGTAAAGTGAAAGAGATTACGCATCAAAACTCTTGGAACGCATATACCTTGAGTATGAACATATGGGGGGAGTTATGTGACTTTATATTTGATCATAACTTCTAACGGAGTAGAGGACGCTATATATTCCTTTTTATTATTATTATGCGCTGGAATTCCGCCACCTATGTGTGGCACAGGTTTGTTGCTGGCACGGTTAGCTCCCGTGCCAGTTAACCTCAAATTTATTTGGGGGAGGTTAATAGGTGGAAACCCGTTCGATGCGTAATCAATGCAAAATGAATTAGTTAGTGTCTAGTCATTGTGTCTTGTTGATTAGTGTGTATGCTTGTGGACAGGTGCAATGAGGTAAGTGTGTGTTGATAGGTGAAAGCATGTTAGTATGTTTAATTACGCTTATGTACTCAGCCTTGCTGATTGTGTGTGTTTGTGTGTTTTGACCTTGCTTTTACTTTGGCCCTACGACGACCCATTTTCTAATGGCGAGTAGTGGGGACAAGTAGGAAGGACGTTTTCAGGTGATGAAGCATATTCATGATGGGCATGAGTGAAGAGCGAAGCATGCTTAGTTTCCATATGACTATGATGTGATTTATTGCTTTATTGATTATATTATTATTGTGCTTGTGAGACTAATGCAGAGGTTTTCACGTTTCACTTGGTTTTGTTAAGGGCCTACAATGGTTCCAAATTGTAGGTTGTTTTTGTTTGACTTTACTTTCGTTTGGTTTGGTTTGTTTTGGATGGTTTTAAGGATAGTCTTCCGCTGTGTATCTTTGATAATTGCCTCAGCCGTTTTCACGGTGGCGGTAATATCTTAGATATTCCTATTTAGATTTTTAAACAGGGCAAAACAGGTATTTTAAAAGAAAGGAATTTCTAGGGTGTTACATTGTCGGCGGTGGTGGTCCTAAATAAAAGGGGAAGGGGAAGAAAGAAGAAAAAAAGAAAGAAGAAAAAATAAGAAGAAAAGGGAGAGAAGGTTTTCTCCACTCTGGTTGCCTCATAAGAGGGTTTTTTTATACCCCTTCGCTACCAACCTTTTTCCCTAAACTTTCCTCTTTTAGTTTTTTTCCTAATCCCTTCCCTAATAAAATTTGCTAAAATCATATTTTCCTAAAATAAACCCCAACTTTTATAAAATACTTAATAAAATAAAGGAAAATTTTCAAACCACCCAAAAAGGGGTCCTAATTTGAAATTACCACCCAATAAAAATTTTATTTTAAATTACCACCCATTAAAAATAAAATTTTTTCAGATTACCACCTTTTTATGTTTTCCGGTTGAAAATCCGACTGTGGGTCCTACCCTTTTAACTGCCCTCCTTTTTTTTTCTTTTCTTCGACCTAATGTTCTAACTATTGCATTAAACTCCATACTCTTCATCTCTCCTCAATTCCTTCTGTTAATCTAACCACAAATCATCAATTTTTTCCCTCTTTCTTCCTTTAATTCTCTGTCAACTTCTCAACTACCCATATAGGATTTAATCAAAACCCTAATTCTACTTTTTTCTGGAAATTGAATGCTTGGTTGTACTTATTCTCCTCCAATTCTGCAAGACATAATCCAAAAACAAACAAAAAGAACTAGCTTACAACTCCATGCATCAATGAATCATTCAAATCATTCAATCGCAAAACACAACGCATAAGATACAATTATTCAGCATAATAAACAATTGAAGAACAAATTTGGACCACATCAACTTCAATTAGCAGAATTCTAACTAAATCGCACAATTAATTGCAAACAAATACCCTAATTGCAAAAACAGATTTTATTGCCTCATGAACCCTAATTACTAAATTAGGGAAAAAAACCCTAATTTACGAAGTACTGGAATCATACCTTTGCTGCAAATTCAGTTTATATCTTCTTCTAACAGTATATGTTGAAATTTGAGGGATTTAGAATGAAATTTGGGGCAAAAATTTTTAAATTGAAGTTTGACAATTTATAAACAACAGAAATCGGGGAGAGAGAGTCAAAGTAGTCGTTTATAGCCGTTATGTGGGGCCCTCAAATAGATTTTCCACCGGAAAACAAAAAAAGGTGGTAATCTGAAAGAATTTTGTTTTTAATGGGTGGTAATTTAAAATAAAATTTTTATTGGGTGGTAATTTCAAAACAGCACCCCTTTTTGGGTGGTAATTTACAAATTTTCCTAAAATAAACATTCCTTTTATAAAATATTTCCAAACTTACATAGAATAAATAATTAAAATACCATAATTAAAACATTAAAATTATTTAAGTACCTTTACAAAATACCTTTTTCAAATGAAATATGTATAAAAATACAGGTATTACATTCACATTTATATGTTATAACCTCAACGTCATTGATTACCTTTCTTCTTTTTTTTTTCTCCCCAAAGACGATACTCGTTGTTAGTCTTTTACGATACCTTTTTGTTTAATATTGTGATTAGGGGTTTTGCAAAAACCTTTGATTTGAAGCATTGTGCTCTGAATGTTTACTGTTTTATGACATAAAAAAAAATGGGGGTTTGCCCGATAATTTCACGTACCATTATGTTCTTAAGAGAAATTTTGATGCTAAGTTTGCTAGAGGTTTGCCGTGATGAGTTTAAAATGAGAAATATTTTTATATTCATGTTACAAAGTGATTTACAAGTAATTAAGAATTTCAAAATATATCAAGTGTTGCAAAGTGATATACAAGCAATTAGGAATTTCAAAATATATCAAGGGACGTTTAAGGACTACCCAATTTTCAAATAAATGGGTCTGATTTGGACATGTTAGGGTTGGTGAGTGCACATCGAAAGCAAATTAAAGGTGTGCAGATTGATAAAATTATTAGGAAAAAGATAGAAGCAAGATAAGTAGTAAAAATGGACACACAACATTTAACGTGAAAAAAATTATCAAAAAATACACAAATCATTATATGAAAACTCTCACTGTATCAATAAAAAGCTTATGTATGTGTATGGTATGGCTTCTTGTGTATATATATGATGATTGAATACCTATTACCTATATTTATAGTTGTAGATGGAGCATTGATGATTTGGTCGGAGGAGTCTTGAAAATCCTTCTAGAAAATTCACGAACCATATTATTAGTTAATTCTATTGTCAAGAATTCTCTAGATTGTGGCTTGCATGATTCAAGCTAGTAGAAAAATCTAGAGAAATGAGAAACATTATCAACCATGCTATATATATCCGAAAAATTCTAGAACATGAATAAATACTCTGACAGAAATACTTGCGTGGACCTGGTCCACAATAATATTATTGTGGACCCGAAGTTTATACACACGCAACTGACATTATATTGAACATATCGACCCTTATTTTTAACATAGTAACCTTTATTAAAAGTTGTATAATGTTTAATACTATTGTAAACTTCAAGTGCGAGGTTATGACCCTAATTTTAACATAGTGACCTTTATTATTTATATTGACTTTATAAAATATTTCATTAAAAAAATTAACCTCTTATAGCCTATGTATTACCAAAATGACTTTTATATTCAACATAGTGACCTTCATTTTATTATAGTGACTTTTTTTATTAATAAATTAACCATAGTTTCTCTAATGTTAGTGATCCACAATAAATTAGTGTGAACCAGGTCCATTTAAGAATTTGTAATCAAAATAAAGGGCCTAAAATTTGGGCCACACCCAACATGATTTCCTAACTTTTTTTCCGTTCGTTTTTTTTTTGGAAACTTTGTAAATTACCACCCAAAAATAGAACCATTTTCGAAATAACCACCCATTAAAAAATTTATTATAAATTAACACCCCTTAAATTAATTAATTACGCAGATTACCACCTTTTTTGAATTTCCGATTGAATTCAGATGTGTGGGGCCCACAGTCGTGACCTCCCTCCTATTTTTTTTTTCTTTTTTGTCGATTTCACTAATGTAAGCTATTGAAGACTACTCCTCTCTCAATTCTCTCAGCAAATCCACCTATCTCCATAAATTCTCACCCACTCTTCAAATTAGGATCCTAAATTGCAGATTAAAACCCTAATTTAGATTTAGTTCACAAAAGAAGTTACTCCTGTCTTATTGGGGTTTTGCTTGAAGCTTGGGCGAAAACAATTTGCAAACACAATTTTCCCTGATATAGCAACAATTCAATGATAGAAAACCAAAATTGGGCGAAGAACATGAAACCTAATTAACTAAACACCCAATTTCCCCCAATTAAAATACAATAAGAACCCTAATTTGCGAAGAAAATAAACCCTAATCAACAATCAACCAGTTTTCCCCAATTTAAGTACTACAAGAACCCTAAGTTTAAAGAATTAAAGTCTTTACCTGATGCGAATTCGCCTATGAAGTTTCTTGAGACGCTTCTGCAATTACAACAAGCTCATATGTTTGGGGTGAATTTTGTGAAATTTGGGGAGAATTTGCAGTATAAATCGCAAATTAGGGTAGGAGATATGTTATATAGGGAAAAATCGAGAGGGAATTCATTTGGGAAGCAAGAACTAGTCGTTATTAGCCATTAGGAGGGCCCCACACATCTGAATTCAATCGGAAATTCAAAAAAGGTGGTATCTGCGTAATTAATTAATTTAAGGGGTGATAATTTAAAATAAATTTTTTAATGGGTGGTTATTTCGAAAATGGTTCTATTTTTGGGTGGTAATTTACAAATTTTCTTTTTTTTTCGATTTTCTAGTCAATATTGTCTTTCAATATTACAAAGGAGAAATTCCGAGTTTCTCATAAACAAAAGGGGTATTATAGTTTTTTTACACTATCTACTAGAAATACAAAAGCCTCCTACTTAAGTGGCTTGGAAGACGTTAACCGAGCATTATATTTCTCCTCGATACTGGAGTTTGAATTCTTCAATAGAAATCGACTAAAGCAATGGAGAAAGGCAAACACCTACTATTTGTGGTTAACCTATGCACTTACAGTAATTTATACCGTATCTTATTATAGGGATAGTGTTTGATGACGAGAACGGAAGCAAGGAGGTTGAAGAAGATGGAAGGAAACGGAAATTAATGATAAGTTAAGTTATTAAAATATTTTAAATTTTTTTTAAAAAAATTATTCAAAATTATAGTACATAACATTGATGGCTCCAAAAGTCCAAAACTTCAATTTCCCTCCCAAAAATAACGGTAAATGCGAGTCTACGCCACCCAAATGAGGAGGCTCTTCCATGCCATCACCATTCAATCTCTCTTCTCCAAACGCCAACAACCACCACTTCGAGCTTCCCAACTCAACTCTTTTTCTCTCCTCCAATCTTGCAATTCTCTCATTCATCTCCTCCAAATTCAAGCTCAAATTCTTAAGCTTGGCCTCCATTGCAACCCTTTAATCCTCACAAAGTTCACCTCTAAATCTTCTGATCTCGACTCCATTGATTACGCTTCTTCCTTTCTTTTCTCCCCTGAAGCTGATACTCGCTGTTACGATACCTTTCTCTATAATACTGTGATCAGGGGTTTTGCAAAAACATCTGATTTGAAGCATTGTGCGCTGAATGTTTACTGTTTTATGGTAAAAAATGGGGTTTTGCCCAATAATTTTACATACCCTTTTGTTCTTAAGGCTTGTGGTGGAGTAGGGGATTTGAAATTGGGGAAACAGGTTCATGGGTCGGTGTTGAAATTAGGGTTTGATGGAGATTTACATGTGGGGAATACGATGGTTCATATGTATGGGTGTTGTGAGGGAGGAATTGAGGGTGCACGGAAGGTGTTTGATGAAATGCCTGAGAGAAATTCTGTGAGTTGGAGTGCTGTGATTGGTGTTTATATGAGGTCCGGGTTGTCGGTTGATGCTGTTGAGTTGTTTAGACAAATGCAGGTTGCTAAGGTTTGCCCCGATGAGTTTACAATGGTAATTGTTGTATCGGCTTGTGGTGATTTGAGTGATCTTGAGCTTGGGAATTGGGCTGCGTCTATTATAGAGAGCAAACAAATTCGTAAAAGTGTCGAGCTTTTTAATTCGTTGATCAATATGTTTATGAAGTGTGGTGATGTTGAGAAGGCGATGAGTATTTTTAGAGACATGAAGGAAAAGGACATTGTATCTTGGACTTCTGTGCTTTCGGGGTTGGGAATGCATGGACATGGAATGGAAGCTGTTTCCTTTTTTGAGGAAATGATAAAAGATGGAGTCAATCCTGATGATACAGCATTTGTCAGCGTGTTGAATGCTTGTAGTCATTCGGGTTTAGTTGATCAAGGTCGATATTATTTTAAGTCAATGATGAACTATGGTCTAACACCTAAAATGAAACATTATGGATGTATAGTGGACTTGTTGTGTAGGGCTGGTCTTGTTAAAGAGGCACTGAAGTTTGTTGAAAGTATGCCCATCGAACCTAACTCAATAATATTGCGAACCTTGATCAACTCTTATAATGGTCAAGGTGAGGTAAAGCTTAATGAAGTTCTCACAGAGAGGTTGATTGGGAATGATCTGATGCATGAGGCAGATTACGTTATTCTTTCCAATATCTATGCAAAACTGTCTATTTGGGAGAACAAATACACCATCAGAGAATTGATGGACCGGAAGGGGATAAATAAGACTCCTGGATGCACAATGGTTTAACTAGATATCTATAAATTGCGCAATGAATGAATGTGGATATGCATAAGATGTAAGAAAAACGTAGAGAATGATGAAAAGCTGTATGCAGTTTGAACTTGTTGCAAAGCTTTCATATGATATGGCGAGGATCGCAGTTTGGGACATGCCTGGTTTAGTGAAAAGCTGGTTAATAATGCTTTTACTCCGATTATTTGTAAACAGGGGCTTCTTTCATCATTCCAAAAAGCAGAATCTTCTGATGACAAGCTATTTATAAGAGCTACTTCACATCATACAGGCATGATGATTTTATTGGGATTCGGTCTGTAAAGTAGCTTGTGAATTAACAGGATTTGTGTCTATTGAATGTTAGATTATGTAGACATTCCTGGCACACCATTGCAATCTAAATTCCTTTTCAGAAGCCAAAATGAAGGTCAGATTTCAATGATATAAACTCTACTTCAACAAGTGGAAATTTTATGCCCATTTTGCAAATTGCAATTATACTGTTCATAAATTGTAGGAGCTCTGCTCCTTCGACTCGGTGTCAAACATCATGATTGATGGGTCAAGAATTTTTTTTTTAAATATATTATATATATATATATATATATATATTTTAATATTTGCGTTTATGATCAAAGTCTCCAATTGTCTAGTATGTGGTGTAAGTGTGCAAGTGTAAGAGTTTTACAATGTAGCAAGGGAGACGAGATGGAAAAGTTTGCATACTGCTTTAGTGTAAAGTAATCTTCTATAAGTGTAATCTTCTATAAGTTTACAATATCAATGAAATCTTATAAAAAATGTAAGAATAAACATACTTGAGTGCATTTGGTTTAAGTATGGATCCGAAGTCAAGGAATTATAATGGACCTTTTTTTTTCAATTTGTCTTCTGAGCTATTATTTCTCATCTTCTTGATTAGCCTAACTTGTATTTTCAATTATTTGACAAAACACCTATGTATACATAACCTTTGTGTGCATAAGCTATCTATAGCCAAGATTATTCTGCCAAACAGTGATAGAAACTATGCTTAGATAGTTAGCTGAGAAGAGTTTTAGAGAATTTGCAGGCAGGATATCCTTAGTTACTCTATTTTTTTTTTAATGGTTTAGGGTCATACCATTATGGAAATCGAAACAACTCAGCAAAATATCCTGGAAGTTATGACGATTACTATCTTGTTATAGCTTACTGATGGAACACTTGCAAAGCTGCAACTCTGCAAGTGTCACACTTTGTGTAAGTTTCTACAGTAGGATTATTTGCTCCTAAATTCATCTTATATTTTAAGTAAGTGCTTTATTTGTGTTCTGTTTGTTGGTAAGAATGGTAACTCTGCCGAAACCAGAGCCCTTTAGCCAGACTAGAGTTGGATCTCTATACTATTCAGCGGCACAAAGAATAAGTACTGGTTTGCCTGTGGAAAGTTTGCAAGCATAGTGTTCACTTTTCTCCATGTCATAAAGAATGCTGTTAATCTTTTTTTAGTTCATCAATCATATGGATTAGATGCAAATACTGTGAAGGTAGCTTTTCTGTTGAGCCCATGAACAACCCACATGTGAGCATTCTCTTGTCCCACACTAAAACACTAAGGGGCCGTTTGGTTGGGGGTATTCGGGAAAGGGAATGGGAATCAACTTGCCTAATTCCCCTTGTTGATGTTTGTTTAGCACTTTCTTTCATTCCCTTTACCCCCTCCATTCCCCAAATTCCTTCTAAGTCCATTCCCCACCCCCCCTAGGTATTTCCATTCCATTCCCTAGCCACCCCAATACCACCACATCACCACCTTTACACCTACCAACACCACCGGAAACCAGCCCACCTACATACCTGACCACCGCCGACCCTACCCCGATCCTCGCCGCCCTCCCCTCCCCCGCAAAAACAACCACAACCCCCGCAAAAACAACCACAACCCCCACAAAAATAACCACCACCACCCACCCAGCCCTCCCTATCGCCGTTAAACCGCCGCCTAGCCCTCCCAAAGCCCCGCCCCGCCCCTTCCCGTCGCTGCCCTTCCCCTCTCCCGGCAAATCTGCCCCTCCCCCATAAAACGTCCCATAACCACCGCAAAACCCTAAAAACTCTTCTCCCTCCCCTTAAAATCGTCAGCCGCCTCTCCCACCACCCTCGAAACCCGTGGGGGAAGGGTTGTCGACGGTTTTTATGGTGAGGGAGAATGGTTTCTAGGGTTCATTCGTGGCTGAGGTAAGTTTTACGGGGCTGAGGGAGGATTTGCGAGGGCGGGGACGGCCGGCAAAGGGAGGCGTACGGTGAGGGAGCAGCGGCGAGGGGTTTGGTGGCTGGAAACGGTGGAGAGTGAAAGTGTAGGTGGCTGTGTGGTGGTGGGGCTCATTCTCTTTGTTGTAAAACAAACAACATACACAATTTTAGGCAATTTCATTCCATTCCTTGTCTTTCCCTTTGTTCATTCCATTCCGATTACCCTGTACGAACCAAACGGCCCCTAAACACTAAAAGAGGAGTGTAGTGGTAATGAAATCCCACATTGAAAGAATTCAAGAGTTACCACCACTATATAAGGCTAAGGGGCTACTCCCCTCATTGCCATATGGTTTTGAGGTGGAACCTCCTTGATCTTGTAAAAGTGGTGGACTTGCACTCTCCCGTGACGGGTGCGGCCCAACCCATATTTAACATTTTCATAATTCTATATGAATGACTTGAACTCTTAAAGCCCGTTTGGCAGGTGATTATTACTTATGGAATTGACAATGAATTTGTAAGGAAAGCCCATGCTCATTACCATGGCAATGGAACTTCATCTCTAAACATGTACTTCGTATTTTTCTTCATAAAACCTTGTTACTCTTGACTATCACTATTTAACAGTTATATCTTCTGATAAATCAAGTTATATTAATGTAACATGATACCCTTATCAATGTGACATTAATAAATTGGGATAAAGAAAGTAAGTACGGAGTACTATAGTATTTTATTTTGTGGTGTGGGGAAGGAAGGTGGAACACTGGAAACAAAGCTCTGGATATAGAATATCTTAATATTCATCTTTCTATATTAGTTTGCTCACCAAACTAGGTGATTTTTGGTAGATATTTGTTCCAAAGAATCCTACTAAAAGCAGCATATCTCAGTACATGAGATTTGTTAAATACTATGATATGGTAAGGTGCTAAACATAGTTGGCACTACTTGGCAGCGACATAACTAGGATTACACTAAGGATAGAAGCTTAGCACTACTTGGTTGTCGAAGCCAGAAACGAAGCCTTGCACTCCTTTCGTCTTTGTTTAGTCCTCGCCAAAAAAAAAAACTAGCATTAAACTAAGGAACTATTAAACCTTCTTGTGCTATTTCCTGCTGTCCACTAAAAATAGCACTTAAAGATAGGTTATCTAACATAGTAGCAAACTGAGGAAACCGATATTTTCACTGCTGCTGCACAATCAAACTGATACTGATATTTTACTTAACTAATATTGCTACAAGATATTTACATGTCCTTTGCAGAAGAGTAGCCATCTGATGTAGTAGTACAAAATCTTCATAGTTAGGTTTACATTCTGTGCAGATTATGCCTAGTAATCAAGAAACATAAAAGATTATGTATGTTGATTGTTCACTGTTCAAAACTCTTTGTTTAAGTGCACTTTTTGTGCTTTTAACATCATGCACACGATGTAGCTTTTGAGTTTCTTCGATCTTACTGGTGATCTCAAGTTATTTTAATCTACCTTTTCTCCAATTGATTGGTTTATGTTATATGCTGAATTTTTCTATTTTGGAGCAGAAGATTTGCATGATTGATAGCTTTAGTGTTTTTTCTGTATCAGTTTAATCAGTATCTTTAATTAACCGATTAATTTATGAGTACAATCATTAAGGTGCTACAGCCTATAGGCTTATTTGTTTTAGCCACATACAAACCACTTGCATGTACTGATTTGGCTGAAGCCTTCCATGAAAAATTACTCCACTGAGCTGATGGAAATTATAATCAAGTCACACACTGTACTGATTGGCTAAATGCCTCCTCCATGTTTACAAAAAGTGCAGTGTAGATTAAATAAATAATTGCCACTTGTCCATTTGCATTGCCTAAATTTTTTATGCATACTTTAGTACTTTGCCTACCTATTGATTCTAACATCTATGAAGTGTGCCTGTGTGTGATCTTTTTGAACTATAATATTTTTTGCGTTACATATCTGTATAGATAAACATACTGATAAAGTTTGAATTTTTAACCCGAGAATACCAATTGGAATTTTTTTTTTTTTTTGGTTTTTGGGCGTGTATAGCCAATTGGATTGAAGGTATATAAGAATGTAAAGATTAATCTTTCTTTGGATTGGCTTAGGCTTGACCGCTTAACAGTACAGGTCTGCATTATCAGATCATAGAATCGGATTAAGATTCTTGACACAGACAATTCAATTATGATATTTAGCATTCATGCTATGCTCCTCGAAGATTCTGAATTTACTCTGACATGACCCTGCAACCCTATTCATTTTCTACTATGGTACTCCTGGACACGCCTTTCTTGTCTCCGTCACTCAAGGTTTGCACCATGAAGTGCTGTGAGTATGTTTGGAATTATCTTGTGGCTACATGCTTGTGACATTGTGAGCTATCCAACTATAGCTTGTGCCTGAAGGTAGACCACTCACCGGACAGACAGTCACATTCATTTTGTCTACTGTATTTTTTGCAATCTAGTCCTTTACATGCCTCAAGCTAATCAGTAATCATGATGAAGAAACATATTCTTACAGTGATGGCTTTGTTGACAATGAACCGTGATGCTTAGTATGATATTACCTGTTTGGGCATTGTCTCAGAAATTTTAGTCTTTCTTACATAGTACTACTCTGATTTGTCTTAGTTTCCATAACATTTCCTTAAGCAGCTAAAGGCTCTGGAGTTATATTGAGCATAGGTCCAAATTTTTCACAAAATAAATTCACATTTTCTTTTGATAATTTCATATAAAGAGGGTAAGTTATTTGGTTTTAAGGCTTTTAACATAAATAATTGTAATGTTGCAGTCAATTTTCATGGACAACAGTTCCTCCTCAGACATGATTCACTATTTCAGTGGATAACGCTCAGCTTCATAGCTGCAAAAATTTGTTCAATTTCTTAATGCAGTAATAATCTCATTACTTGTTAAGATATCTTTTTGTTGGAGGGAAGATATCTTAATGCTTGAGCTAAGAGCCATATACCAGTGGGGTAGCAATAGCATTGATCACTGAGTTAATGTTAATGTTAAATTGTTAATCTATAATACAACTTTTAATATGCACTACTTAAAGATTGCAACTTTGTCGTATCTTTGATCCAATAGTTTCAGTCTCATTCTAATTTTAGCTGAAGCACTGGTCAGGAATAGCAATCTACTTAATATCTTCAGTTTCATTATGCAAGCACTTTTTGCTGAAACAGCTGTTTTCAGCACAAAATGTAGTCATTGTCGCTACTAGTATCCTCGCTTATAAAAGGAGACACCCTATCCTTTGATTGTATAATTCTAAGTAAAGTTGAGCTAGAAGAAGG